TCCATTTCTGACTGGAGTACAACCTAAGCTACATGTGCTAAGGGTCTGAGGTCAGGAAGGACCTGACCTATCCATCCGAACCAGTGATGGAGTTTGGATCACCTGRATGTGGCCTGGATATTCCCCTTAATGGTTACTAGACTCCCCCTTGCAACTATCAAGCCATCTGTGGAGAGAAATTCTTAGACCATGCAAATATCCTGCTCCCATCAACTTTCTCCTCCAGACTTCAGCTTCCTTTGATGTCTTTTGACATAAGGGATCTTCACCACAATGACTGAACTCCCTCCACATTTCCCATCAGTCAGTGCTCTGTACAGTCTAACCCTCTCTTCTCCTCCAATGGCGTGCTTATTTTTAAATTTACCTGTTTATTCATAGTACAGATTTGTGGGTTCATATTTTATCCAATGACTTTTTTTCTTTCTGTATTTTTATTGGTGCCTTATAATTGTACATAATGATGGGAGACTTATTGTTACATATCCATTCATGCGTACAAATAACAACATAATTTGGCTGAAATTACTCTCCAGTGCTTCCCTCCTCCCTCTCCTTCTCCCAGTCACAGGTCCTTTTCCTGTACAGAGCTCCCTTTGATTTTCCTTTTATTCGGTGATTTTAATTCCCTACGGTTCTTAATTTATTTTGATGGCCCCAGAATAGATTGTCCTTTGTAGCCCTAGAAAGCAGGACTCAGATACTACTAAAGGGTATAGACTTTGACTTGATGAAAGAAGAGCTATGATGGTCTAAATATCTAAGTATCCTCCCAATCACATATTGAAACCTGATTCCCAGGGTGAGGAATTTGGAGGTGGAGCCTTTGGGAAGAAATGGTATTTGAAGGTGGAGCCTTTGGGAGGAAATGTGACCATGAAGACAARGTCCTCATGAATGGGATTAGAGTCTTTATAAAAGAGTCTCTGGAGATTCCTCATCCACTTCCACCATGCAAGGGCACAGTGAGAAGCCAGCCATATATAAACAAGAAATGCACATGCACCCTCAGATTCCAAAATCAGCTGGCACCTCAATCTTGGACTTTCCAGCCTTYCAAACTATATAAATTTCTATTGTATATAAGCCACTCAGTCTATGGAATTTTGTTATAGCAGTCCAAAGGGACTAGAATAGGAGCTTTTGAAGGATTCCACCTGTCCATCATTACAAGGAGCTACCTGGAGGGTGATAAGCTGTCCATTCATTACAGTAACTGAAGAGGCTGGTGACCAGTTTTCGTAGAAGTGATTTATGTACCTGGTTGGGGTTTTCAAAGTCCCTTCCAAACCTGACAGGTGAGAATACTGGAAAGGAGGTGTGATACAATTTAGAGGAATACTAAACAATAATAAGGGGAAACATTCAGGCCACCTCCGGAAATGATCCAACCCAGGCTTATAGTAAATACAATTCTTATTCCTAATCCGCTCAACTTTTCCAAAACATCACTTCATGCCAACACGCTAAATGCTGAACCCAGAAAGGAGACAACTCAGATCCCAGCCTAGAAAGGACCCTGGCCCAAGACCACAGGCAGTGGAATAATGGGGAGGTCCCTCCACCTATGCCTAGGGAGCCAGGAAAGGTATCAAAGAGAAAATGACTTTTCAGTAAGTAGGAGCTCAGCCGCCAAAGAATAAGCACAACCATCAGAATTCTGCACAGTGCGAGACGGAGTCAGTCAGGCTCCAGTTCTTGGAAACTTTTATTTAATATACACATGTGTATAGAAATACACACATTCAATAGAAATATGTGTATTTCTATACACATGTGTATATTAAATACATGCACACATACAAATTATCTTTTCTGATTTTCCTTTCATGGGTTTATGTGTAAGGGGAAAGCAGTGACTTCAACATTAAAAAGCATAAATGCTCAATAGCTCAKCCTCCTGATCAGAAAATACACCCCACTCCACCCTGCCAGGGATCTGTATCACAAGATACTCTAGGATGAAATGCTCTGGCCTGGCTGACTGACAGTCTAGGAAAGGTCTGCTGCCTTCTTGGCTCCCATCTTCTGGGCCTCTGCTTGCCACACATAGCAGAGGGTATACAGCATGACACATTCAAGGGAAGGGTCACGTGCTGACACCTAGCCTTACTTGGTCAGAGTGATCCTCTCCTAGAGGTAAAGTAATGTGGTGGCCTGAAGTACAGCCGGAGCTGCTGGTAAAGCATAAGTATCCCTAATTTAAAGATCTGAAATATACTCCAAATAAGAAATTTTTTTAGCACCAACTTGACATCACAAGTGGAAAATTCCACACCATGAAACATTCATTTCATGGCCACAGTTATTTAAAAAGTTACCTTTGGGCTATGTGTATAAGGTATATATATTAAATATAGAGGAATTTTATGTTTAGACTCTAGCATTCCCAATATCTCATTTTATACATATGCAAATATTTCAAAATCCAAAAGATTCTGAAATTAAAGATACTCTGGTCCCAAGCATTTTAGTTAAGGGCTATCAACTCACACTAACCTGAGCCTCAGGAACCAYAGATCAGTAGCTCAGACTCAAAGAAGCCACTGCCTAGGGAGTTTCAACTCATAGATTTCAGGAAAGAAGGCTCTGAAGCAATGATTWAAAAAATGTGGTATTTTACATCTTCATTGCACTATTTAGTAAATTCACAGCATACACGCTACTGTTTGCCTACTCTGAGCCCATGGCAGTCATGACTAATCTATCCTGATATACCAAACACTCATATTGAGACCTCAGCATCCTGTACATAACTTTCTAGACAGCTGCTGTCCAGGAGCACTTTATAATTTCCAAAGATATCTTACATTTAATGCCAAACTTGAATTTCATAAGATGGTTATAAGATCAAAGAAAACAAATGTGATTGTCCCCAATTTCCAAGATAGGGAAACAGGCAGCAGAGACAAAGTGGCCCTCCTGAGGTCCCACAGTTGGGAGGATTCGATTTGGGATGAGAGCAAGGCCTCTCAGTAAGATCGTCTCTCCTGCTGCCTATGCTGAAACCTGGGGAGATTCCCAGTAGAAACAACTCAGTACAACACTGAGTACCAAACAGGCCACGTGCCTAGGGTCAGCCTGCTGAGACAGAGTCTAAATCCCAGCTCAGACGTAACTCACACCTTTCATGAAGAAAGATCCTGACAAGAAGACAGTACCCTTTCTTCCAAGGTTCTGAACCCTGTGCATTCATCTCTTTTATTCCTAGAAAGAAGCACACAGTAGCTGCTCAATAAATGACTACTAAACTAAAGTAAAGGAAGACACAGCCCTGTGCTAGGGTCAGCGTCTGTGAATTGAGATGTGGTGTAAAGCTGCAAAGCAATGAACTGAAGCTTTAAAAGAAGCACACCACCCCAATTAGGACTCCCACACARAATCCTGATATATTGCACTACTCAGCCTTGCTGGGCCTCAATTCCTGTACCTGYGAAATGGGAACAACACCTCCTGCACAGGAATGTTGAGGGAGGATGGAATATTTGAAAAGAAACTTGGTACAAATGACAATGAAAAGCAGGAGGAAGGGGAGACATTCTAAGAAGAGCAGTGTGGCAGGCAGACTTTAGGTGGCTTCCCATGATGCCCACACTCTGGTGTCCTTGCCCTGGAACAATCCCATCCCTCTGAGCATGGGCAGGACCTTGGACTTGTTGCTCCCACAATTATGCTACATTCTATATAAGTTCATTCTGCTAGCATGCTTTCTCCAGAAAGTTCTCCTTTATGGGCACTGAAGAAGCGAGTGGTCTGTGTAGCAAGGAGCTGAGCAGTTTGTAGGAGGTGAGGGTTGCTTCAGTGAGCAACCAGGATCCACAGTCCTGGAACTGCAAGAAATGGATTCTGCCTCACCCAAGTGAGCCAAAATGAAAACTCTCCATGGTCAGAGACCCAGATGAGAATACAGCCCCAGGACACCCTGACTACAGTGTGCAGAGGCCCTCTGAGCCCTGCTTGGACTCTGGATGCACCTACACCAAGGGAGAATACAGATGAGTGGTTTTAAGCTGCTAMGTTTGTTATGCAGCAAAAGAAAACTAACACAGAGGGGGGAATAAAAAGCAGAGAAAGGGAAAGAGGAACAATGGCAGCTAGGCTCAGGACATCAACCTCGACGCAGCAGGGAAACTTCCTCATCTCTGAGCAGCCGTGACGGTCCCCACATTTCAGCCCAGGCAAGATGTCTGTGTGTCCAGCTATGCTTTCCACGGACCAGAGCCCAGCCACCACTGTGGAAGGCTCCTGCTCCCACTTGAAGGAAAAGCAGCTTTTCCACAAYGACACATGCTAATGGGGCCAGGGCTTCTGTCCTTTCCCTGTGACTTCTCCCTTGGCATCAGTCGGCTGCCAAGGCTGCCAGCGACAACGATCAGCCTAATGCTGTCTAATTGACCTCCCGCCTCCTCAGGCTGCTCTGAGCTCTCAGGCAGGAMCACGGGGGCCTGAGATTCAAGGCAAAGCCGTCGCCAACATCCACGCCTGCCTGCCCAGGAAGGACTCCCTCCTCCCAGCTCATGGCCGAGGCATTAAAAATTCCATTTCTCAAGTTCCCTTCCCATCATGTTAAAACCAGAACTGACCAACCAACCCTCTCTGGAATTTTAGCCTTTGATTTCTCACACCTAATTACAGCTGGCAGGATTAAAGCAGCCCCYTGTCAGGTTTTTGTTTTGTTTTTATTATTTCCACAGTCATCCACACAAAAAGTACCATATACAAGAACCAGAAATGTAGCAGGAACAACAGGGAGAGAGAGAGCACCCGGTCAACAACCTCTGGCCCTGGGCAATCTTCCTCTAAGAGGATCCAGGTGAGTCAGCTGTGTGTGCTCCTTCAGGAACAGCAAGCTGGTCCCCAAGCAACGGGGTCAATGGGTGGAATCAAATAAATCATAGTTCGCGGGACTTCAGGTCCTACTCTCCTCGGCCCATGCAAGCCCTCCCGGCTGGCTCTGTGGTAACTCATGGAAACCCAAGGATGAACGAACATGCTCTTACCCACGACCTGGATGACCTGGGCCAGGAGGACGCCATCGGTCACATCTTGCTGGAGATCCTTGATGAGACGTTTGTGGCCGGATTTGGCCAGATAATGATTGGCCCAGTCTGTGTAGATCTGAAAAAAAGCAAACAGGCAACTTGAGGAATCCAGTCGGAGCACATCGCAGGGTCTGAGGCAGCAGCTGGGCCACTGCTTGCTTGGGCGCAGCAGCCACCAGCCCGCCAGCAGCAGCTCTCGGGGGGCCAGCCTGCACCATTAAAATTCAGTGCATTGTGCCGACCAAGCATTCAGCTCACCGCGGCTGGGCTATCGCCTATTGAGAGATCTGCCATCAAGGCTTGGGGAAAAGCTAAAGAAAGCTTCAAAACATGCAGAGGCCTGAATGGGACAGGGGACAAGGAACTAAACAGTCTGCTCCAGACGGCTTTGAGAGGCTGTGGTTCTAAATACAAGTGAAGTCGCCCCCACCCCTTCTCATCTTTTTCTCTTCATGGAGAAAACGTATGGGGAGGTTACCACCCAACGGGCATCTTTTAACAGGCCCTTTCAGGGTAACGAGGGCTATTGAGTCAGCCCAGTTCTCAGGAGCCTGGGTCCCTTGTAAAGAAGCCAAGTACGAAAACACAGACCCTTCAATTACTCTGTATGAGTGGAGTTATTTGTGGCCTCACCATAATCTCAAATTTAATCAGTTTAATTTAAAAGCCAGGCATCGTTTTCACTGTTGGGATTCTGTGGACAAAACCCCAGCAAATTCCAACATCTTTAAACACAAGATCAGTGTGCGCAGCACCCTGGAAGGCAAAAGCTGGGTCACCCGTGGAGTCGGGAGAGCAGGCCCCGTAGGGGGTGCATCAGATCTGCTCCTCTCGGTCACAGAATCATCAGAGCAAAACAATATTTTCTTCGAGGCAGTCCAGCAAACACAAGAAAAGTCTTACCTGGAAACTTTCCCCCCATCTAACAAAGCACAAAACAAAACAGCACCCCATGATTTTGAGTGCTAAGTTCCATGTACAGATTGGGGAGCTCATAAAGGGAGGTGGGAGTATGCCTGCAGATAGATAYTCTTGCACAGCCACACCTGTCCCAGTGACATGAACAAATGACCTCTCGGACAACTGTCCCCCCCCCTTAAGTGGTCATAAGCATATGAATCCATATGATGTCTTCTCCACAATGAGGAGATATTGCTTCTCCCTCCACCAGCTGGCCTGCTATGAGTATCCATGGGACTCACAGAGTAGCACAGAGTAGCAGACGCTTCACCTTTGCCCTTTTCTTTCCCGGTCTCCTTTCTTGCGAGGGTCATCTAACACAATGGGGTGCTGCCCTGAAGGCTCCTGGAATGGGGTCAGGAGCCTGGTCCTTCTAGAGACGCAGCACCTCTGACTACTCTACCTGGGTTCCAGGTCATAGGAAGTGGCAGAGCCGGGTTCAGCCCCTGGCTAACTTATTCTAGGATTCCTCAGATGTTCTGCATTTCTGCAACTTGGAGTCTCCTCTGGGTAGAAGGGTTCACAGGAAAGGTGGTTTTGTTCATTCCCTACTCTGTGGTTCTTTGTCCTTAAAAGGTCACAGGTCCCTTCCTGGGATCAAACCAGGTCCAAGAAGCAATGTGCTCCTGCAAAGCAACAGCACCCCACTGGTCCGTATAACTTGGGAGATAATCATAGTTTATAAGTTTATTAAAATATAAACACAAAGCTGGGCAGAGTAGCTCACACCTGTAATCCCAGCAATTCAGGAGGCTGAGGCAAGAGGATCACAAGTTCAAGGCCAGCCTCTGCACTGTAGCAAGACCCTGTCTCAAAAACAAACAAACAAAAAACTGGGGATGTAGCTCAGTGGTAAAGCTTCAATCCCCAATACACCCCCCTACTAAACGTAGGCTCACCCTTTATTCAATTATGCTCTCACTGAAAGAATTACAATAAAAAAATCAAAACCCAAACCTTGTTATCTGAATGTCCTCGGTAAGTCCCCAACTTTTATGGACTTCAGTTTATTCACCTGTAAAACAGGCATCCTTGTGGCAGTGGAGACCCAGTGAGTGACCATTTGAAAGCCCCTAGCCTGACCCGTTGGGACTCAGTAAGTACAGGCAGTGGAGGAGGGTGGCAGAGGAGGACTCTGGACTTGCTCTGAATCTTAGCTGCTGTGCTCCTGTCACCTTTGTGCCCTTTGGCTACCTCGTCCCCATTTGCAAGATTTTGACAGCAGCGCCTACCATCAGTGGGCTGCTATGAAAATGAAATGAGATATATAGGCAAGGATCCAGAATTTGCCGAATGCTGAAATACAGTCAATAAGTAAGCGAATATTCAAATTTTTACAACCAGCACCATAAAATGGGCTACAACAAAACAAGCCACAGCCTCTACCCTGAACCTCCAGGACACATGCGATCTGGAATTTCTTCTCCTACTCACAGGAAAATTTCTAGAGTTTGGAATACTCCCCATCTGGAACTATAAAGTATGGCAGAGTGTAAAAGAAAAGCAGAGCCAAAGCCACAGGGCAAAGCCTTTCTTGCGAGCCAGGAAGGGAGGCACTCTTGCTCCTCTCTCAAACTCCAGAGGAGTCTTACCAGTCAGTRGCAGGGACCGAGAGGACAAGCCAAAGGCTAAAGTCATGTGCACCAAGAGCATAGCACAGTGAGAAGAGGAGCTCGGCAAGGACACTGCTGAGCACCCCAGGCCAAGGCACAGTACTAATCCCTTCCTAGGTGATTAAGGGTCTTTGAGATAGACATGCTTCCTCTACAACCAGCCCTTCATGTGAGCTTGCACAGTCCAGCTGGAATGGTGAAGCCAACTTCTTTCAACAAGTTCAACCAGACTTATGCACACACGTGCACGTGTGCGTGCACACACACACACACACACACACACACACACACAATGTGCAGCCATGCATAGGCCATGCAGGTGTCAGGTACAGAGAGAACATTTAAAGGCTAAAGTGGATGGAAATGGCTCAGCCCAAGTGACTTTAGCCTTTTCCAAAACAAGAATTCCTGTCTCAACTATAATCTAGCTAAACACCCCTGCCAAATTCATCTTCCCCGAGCTCAGAGCTAATCTAATTGCCTGCTCAAACAATCCTCAATGGCTCCCCACCACCCCCTGAATTAAAGGCAAACTTGTTACACTGGCCTCCATCCACTCTTCGCCGAATGCACCCACCCCTTGCAGGGGAGACAGTGGGTACGGAAGATAAGAACAGTCTTTGGAATATGACCAAGTTCAGTTGGTCCTTCCTTGGCCCTGGGCATATTCATTTGTAATAGTCTTTCTGTTCCTTAGTCTCATCCTCCATAAATTGGGGATTACAACAAATCTATTACTAGGTAGGGGCTGTCAAACTGTGGGTTAGGCTAATGCCAGCTGACCACCTGTTTGTGTAAACAAAGTTCCACGTGACACATCCACATCCACTTGTGGTGTCCGGCTGCTTGCATGCTTCCAGAGCAAGGTGGAGCAGCTCTGAAAGAAAGACCTTTGGCCCACAAAACCTCATACACTTAATATACAACTCTTCCCAGAAAAAGTTTGCCTGCCCGTGTTCTAAGGACAAGATAAGATAACATGTCTATACATCCCAGATGCTCAGCAGTAGTAATTGTGATTACTCTTAGAAAAATGGGTCAACCTCACCCTTCCCTGTCTCTGAACCGCAGTTACTCTCTCCACCTGAGTGTCCTGCCTGGGGCTGCCCTCKGGGTTCTACTCCAATGCCTGTCCCTCTATGAAGTCATCCTTAGTTCCCAGATCAAATCCTTGATTGCATATGATGTGGAGCTTATAGAGAACTCGGATTTTGGCACCAACTTCTTACTCCCACCACCAGAGGTGAGCATCAGACCTGCCTCGCCCACCTCTGCATGCCTGGCAGAGCCTCCCAGGGAAGCTGGTGTGTGGCAGGAGGGTAGCAAGTGGCTACCAGGATGAGCTGAACAAGGAGCAAAAGGGTAAATCTTGGGAAATTGATTACATATGAGACTTAAATAATGTGAGTTCTCAGTGAATCCTTAATCCAGAAACTCTTTATTGATTAAAAAGAGGAGGGAGCAAGGAAAATAAACTACATAGGTCAAGCTCATTAATCAGGACTCATCTAACAAGGGTCATTGATTATGGAGTTTCCCCTGCCCTTCCCCACCCTAACTCTCAACTTTTTGAAGGGTTGAACCAGAAGAAAACACCTAGTTTTATTTGTAAACCAGTTTTCATGAGCCATGGACCTGGGACTCAGGCAGAGATAAACTCAGCCCCAGCTTCTTCACTTCTCTTTTGGTAGCTCATGCAAGCAAAAGCATTCCTCCAAAGGGCCCCCTTAGTTTTTCCAGCACAAATGGTGCAATACGCGTTTGAAAGATTTTTAGTGAGGGCTAACACGGGCAGGGCCTCCTTTCTAAGTCTCTATTCAGAAGGAATTTCTGCAAAGTCTCTCATTCTCCCAAGTTATACGGAACAGTAGGGTGCTATTGTTTTGCAGGAGCACATTGCTTCTCGGACCTGGTTTGATCCCAGGAAGGGACCTGTGACCTTTTAAGGACAAAGAGCCACATAGTAGGAAAGAACAAAACCACCATTCCTACTCCCAACCTCAATTCACCAAACCACACCCAGRAGAAAGGTTCCAGAATCTAATGCCCAAGCAGGAGTGTCCTCCAATGCAGCTGACTTCGGGGTCCACCCCTGCAGCTCACTGACTCTTCTCTCTGCAGACCCTTCTACCCAGAAGAGACTACAAGTTGCAGAAATGCTCTGTGAGACAGAGAGAGAGAAGCTGCTGTCAAAGGCTTAGAAAGCTAACAGGGGGAGGAAGGCAAAGACAGCAGAACAGTGAATTCATCTGCATTCACTTTTTTCTCCTTGACAAGATGTCAAGCAAAGCCCCATTTGTTTGCTTATCACTCCACATCATTCTCTGTCAAATGGGCTGCAATCCAAAAGGGAAAACATGACAGATCAGTCATAGTAAAGAACCTGATCACCAGTTATAACAAAAATGGATAATAACTGTACTGTGTTAAAACAACGTTAGCAAACAATGTTGCTAAATGTATACTACAATTAGCCCTTGAATGAAGGAGGGTGCCACTCTAA